TATTTATATGATCTTATGGGTTGAATCATTATAACAATGGCTTTTTCATCGGCTGTACAGGAGAGAACTGGCTAAGGAAATAGTAGAGCTATTAACCAATGCTGCTGATGGTGCAAAGTCTTTAATTGATGCCAGTGATAGGCTCATATTATATGTTGAAGTAGCGCGTTTATTTGGAGCACTTGGTTATCAACGGAAAGCAGCTTTCTTCTGTAGGCAGGTTGCCCAATTGTATTTGCAGCAAGACAATCGACTGGCTGCTATCAGTGCCATGCAAGTTCTCTCTATGACAACTGATGCATATAGAATCCAAAGCAGGGCGTCTGTGTCAAAAATTTCTGTTAACAATGTGAGTTTGACAGCATAAGTTTTTTTTCTTTTTGTCTTGTGGTTGAGCATTATTCATAAACATGGGTTGCCGTTGAATTTTTATTAGTACCATCACCGTTCAAGATCTTGTCATTTCTCCATGTATCATACTTTGATGTTTACTTTTCTTATAATATTTTCTCTTGTGTTTGTTGGTAAAGGAAACTGGGCGCCAACCTGATGCTGGAAAAATGCATCATCATTCCATTGTCTCCCTGTTCGAGTCTCAGTGGAGCACTTTGCAGATGGTTGTGCTTAGGGAGATACTTCTCTCTGCTGTTCGCGCTGGAGATCCCCTTGCTGCATGGAGTGCTGCAGCGAGGCTTCTGAGGTGGCATTATCCTCTAATTACACCTTCAGGTCAAAATGGACTTGCTAATTCTCTTGCAAATTCAGCGGATAGATTGCCTTCAGGAACTCGGTGTGCTGACCCTGCCTTGCCGTTCGTAAGGTATATTTATCAGCTGTCGACCTTTTTGCTTTCAGGATGTTTTGTCAAACTTTCTTAATTCTCACACTCTAGTAGACCAACAAGGTCAGACTAATAATGACTTTCATCCATCTCTTGGCGTCATATTTGCCCAGTATGTGTTTATATATCAGGATCTTGTTCCATATTTGCTTCGTAGCTGACTCTGAAAATTTTTGTTTTATGGTTCGTTTATGCATTTTTTAAATGATCTTTCAGGCTATTCTCTTTCCCACTCCATTCTTCCCAAGTGGACATTGTAAAACGGAATCCAGCAAGAGAAGATTGGTGGACAGGATCTGCTCCTTCGGGGCCATTTATTTATACTCCTTTCAGCAAAGGAGATGCCAATGAAAGTAGCAAGCAGGAATTGATTTGGGTGGTTGGTGAACCAGTTCAGGTCTTAGTGGAGTTAGCAAATCCTTGTTGCTTCGATTTAAGGGTTGATAGTATTTATCTCTCAGCGCACTCAAAAAACTTTGATGCGTTTCCTGTCAGCGTGGACATTCCCCCTAACTCCGCAAAAGTGATCACATTATCTGGTATTCCAACAGCAGTAGGACCAGTAACAGTCCCAGGCTGCACAGTTCACTGCTTTGGTGTAATCACTGAACATGTTTTTAGGGATGTTGACAATCTGCTTCTTGGAGCAGCACAAGGACTTGTATTTTCTGACCCTTTCAGATCCTGTGGATCTGCAAAGCTACGACATGTCTTTGTTCCTAACATTTCAGTTGTACCGCCATTGCCCCTCCTTGTGGCTAATGTTGTCGGTGGTGATGGTGCAATTATTCTATATGAAGGTGAAATTCGTGAGGTGTGTATAAATTTTGCAAATGCCGGCACAGTTCCAATAGAACAGGCACATGTCTCGCTCTCTGGAAAGAATCAGGATGCTGTTATCTCGATAGCAGATGAAGCTTTACAGTCTGCTCTTCCCTTGAAACCTGGGGCACAAGTGACTCTGCCTGTGACTTTAAAAGCTTGGCATGTGGGACCAACGGATTCTGAAAATGCTGCTAGTAGTGGGAGGAGCGCTGCAAGTAACACTGTAAGACCGAAAGACAGAACCAGCCCGTCATTGCTTATTCACTATGCAGGTAGTCATTTCTTCATTGACGTGTTTATCTGATGTATCTTACCTTTTCAGTGCTTCATGTAGCTTCACGATGACTATGACTAAAAACATTTTTTATTCATTTTTTTTGTAGGGCCGTTGTCTAACAATGGGGATTCCCAGGAAAAAGAATCTGTCGTGCCGCCAGGCAGACGTCTTGTTGTTCCCTTACAAATTTGTGTTTTGCAAGGTTTGTCTTTTGTGAAAGCTCGTTTGCTTTCCATGGAAATCCCTGCACATGTGAGTGACAACCTTCGGGATGAAGACGTTGAAAGAGAGAGCAATACAGACAGCCTTGTCAAGATCAATCCCTTTAGGGGGAGCTGGGGACTACGGTTTCTTGAACTTGAATTATCTAACCCAACAGATGTTGTTTTTGAAATCAGTGTCTTCGTTCAGCTGGAAAACTCTCCCAAGGAAGATGGTTCTTCCCCAGTGCAAGATTCTCCAGAGTATGAATACCCAAAAACAAGGATCGACAGGGACTATTCTGCTAGGGTACTGATTCCATTGGAACATTTTAAGCTACCGGTTCTTGATGGTTCATTCTTCACAAAGGACCCTCCGCCTGGTAGCCCTTCAAGTAGTAGAAATCCGAGCTTCTCAGAGAAAAACACGAAAGCTGAGATAAATGCACTGATCAAGAATCTCATTTCTAAGATAAAAGTCCGGTGGCAATCGGGAAGGAATAGCTCAGGAGAACTGGACATCAAGGATGCAATTCAGACAGCTCTTCAGACGACTGTGATGGATGTTTTGCTCCCAGATCCGCTAACATTTGGTTTCAGATTGGTCAGAAACAGTCTGGAGATGGACTCTGAGACAAAGGCTCCGTCCCCATTTCCAAAGGGATCTGTTCTGTCACATGAAGTCACTCCTATGGAGGTTCTGGTTCGCAATAACACAAGCGAAGCTATCAAGTTGAATCTAAGTGTTACTTGCAGAGACGTAGCTGGACAGAACTGCACTGAAGGAGCTGATGCCACTGTCCTCTGGGCTGGTAATATCCCTGTCTTTGAGTGAAAAAAAAAAATTGTAACATAGATTTTTGCAGCCATTATAGCCGCATGTATTACATGATAAATATATATGTAGAAGGTGGCTTATGGCATGTCCGTGAATTATTTTGTGCAGGTGCTCTTAGTGGAATCTCAATCGAAGTTGCGCCGCTGCAAGAAGCAAGACACTGTTTCTCACTCTACTTCCTTGTTCCAGGAGAGTACACGATGGTAGCAGCAGCTGTAATTGAAGACGCGAACAATGTACTGAGAGCACGAGCACGAACCGCATCTCCAAACGAACCCATCTTTTGTCGTGGACCACCTTTTCATGTCCGTGTTGTTGGAGGCGCACTGTGATCCGTTTTTCCCCCATCCAAATCTGGTTTGGGCATTCTACTATGTTTGTTGATTTCACGAGAATCAATTTAAAGTTCTGGAATGGGTCTCTTACTCTCTTATATATATCATTGCTTGTGTCTGTGTGTCTGTTCTTTTTTTTGCCTTGGAACATCTTATGATCCTCATGCATATACTTTTTTTTTGTATGTGGAAATTTACGGTTCTGAGACCATTCTTCTCGAAGTAATTGTTTTGTACTCTGCTCAGACCTCAGTAGGTTATACCATAATACTTCCCATACCAATTGATTGAACTTCGACCTGCAAAGTATACCATTTATTGAAAGAAAAAAAGCAATAAAGTTCCCCTAAGCTCGTATATTAAATTATTAATAATAATACATTTAACTGGCATTACGGATTATGCAAATACCTTTGGAATTAATAGTATAATCTATAAAAAAAATTATGTATAGTATTGTTATATTTGTCCAGAAATTGATGAGCACAAAAAAAAGGTTTCTTTTGGCTGAAACAATCTGATACCAACATCAAATCAGCGGTTTTCTAAGAGGTTGTCCTAGTGGACCTTTGCGCTACTGCGTTTTAAATCTGAATTACCATGCAAATATATTTTGTTTAAGGGCTTAATTGAAGGAGATAATCGAATTTGGTTTCATTTTGTGGTTGTAACATGCTTTCCTGAGGTTATGAATAAATTTTTGTCAATTTGAAAGTGGTGGATAGTAATTTTATTCGAATATTGCTAGATTTTATTGGGTGGGCTTAGACTTCTCCTAAATTTTATCCTTCCAAATAATTGTAGTCAACTAACTAATTTATTACATAAATAAATTTATCATTGATGGTCTTCTCATTTACCACTTCGTCGGTTACAGATTAATTATAAAAATAAAATAAAATCATTTCAACAATTACCCGATGAGATTAACTCACTAATTATTCCCACCACTTTAACAAGATATATAATAATTAATTGACACCTCAGCTCAAAGGCCTCAGCTGACAGCTACTACAGTTTAGATAGTTATCGTGAATTCGTGGGAAAGAGACCATCAAGCTCGCTATAAGCCTATAACATGGTTCTTCCTTCCTTCATATTCGTGAATTATACTGAAAAGAAGGCTCTGCATCAAACATGAGATGATTCGCAGGACAAGAATCTTTACAAAATTTGTATATTTAACGTTGTTCTATATATAATGTGATTATGTGACTAATATTTTTTTGTTCGTAGATATTGTCTTAAGGAAGTAAATAATGGCCTCGTATAAAATATTGACTATCCATATACATGTTCATATTTACAAATATGTAGAATCAATGTGGTTATATTTTCCTAGGTCGTCTCAGATTTGCATGTCTTCTTTATTTTTGTGTTATCTTACTTCTTAGAGAAATATGTGTAATACTAATTTTTCTATGTTTAGTTGATATATTTCTATAAAATAAAAAAATATGAATGACTATTTTTTACTAAATATAAGGTTATACTCTTTTTTTTTTAATTCAATACTAAATAGTCAAAATAATTAATGGAATTTAATTGGTAATTAGTGTAACATTTTACTTGCCTCCCATTAAATTGTCATATTTCCTTATTACCCAGCTTAATTCTATCCCTACTTTGTGCTCTTAGCTCTCCTCCCCATTCTACACTAAACTTTTCTCATTCTTCTTTTTTCATGGAAGACCAGGGAACACAAGAGAAGAGTCTCGCCCACTGCGCTGCACCGCCGTTGACAGCGGTGGAGAGATTCTTAAACAGTCAAAAGAACGATACCTTGTGTTTCAAGACACAAGAGCGTTCTACAGACAGACCGATTTTGAAGACGACAAGGGCGACTGAGATTAGAAAGGACAATAAACAGAACATGATGTTTGGTCCGAGGAAGGAGAAAAACTTGGCCGTTAACAACGGAAACCGAAACGTTATTGGGGAAATGATCGTTAAAGGTGGTACAACTAGAGATTATCAAAAGAGCACTAATTGCAAGAAGCGACCATACAAGAATCTGATCAAAGGGCAATGGACAGCCGAAGAAGACAGGTGTATATGTGTACATATGTTGATTTTTATGATTCTTCATGCGAGCAATGGTGGCGTATATACCTATGATTTTGTGGTTGCATTAATATATTATATTTATGTATAGGAAGTTGATAAAGTTGGTGAAGCAACATGGAGATAGGAAATGGGCAATTATCTCGGAGAAACTTGAGGGAAGAGCAGGCAAGCAATGTCGTGAGAGATGGCATAATCATCTCCGTCCTGATATCAAGGTTTTAATATAATATAGATCTGTGTTCTATCAAAGTTTATATGAAATTCTTGGGTACATATAGATTCTTGATTTGTTGATAAACAAACATTCAGTCCAAAATGTAAATATTTGTTGATTTTGTTTTGTAGAAAGATAGTTGGAGTGAAGAAGAAGAGAGAGTTTTTGTGGAAGCACACACCAGGATCGGGAATAAGTGGGCAGAGATCGCTAAACTCATACAAGGACGAACCGAAAACTCGATCAAGAACCATTGGAATGCGACCAAACGACGCCAAAACTCAAAACGCAAACACAAGCGCTCGAGAAACGCCGATAGTACTAACAGCGACGTAGATGATCTCTCTCCATCCGCTAAAAGGCCATGCATTCTCGAAGACTATATTAGAAGCGTCGACAACAATGACAAGGGCAATGGCCAAAACATCATCACTGCTACTGGTGGTAGTAATATATTTCTTTCTACTCCGAATCTTGAAGATGTAGACTCTACATCGTCACTCTTGGATGATCCTTATGACGAAGAGCTTATTTTCCTGAAAAACATATTTGCGAACCATCCAGTTTCTCTCGAGAACATGGATTTGAGCCAGGGATCGGATGAGATAACCCAGTCTTCTTCGTCTGGGTTCATGTTCAAGAACCCTAACCCTAAACCTAATTTGCACAACAATATTGTTGGGAATCAGCTTGGAACAATGGTCACAGAACCTGCCATTACTTCGCACCTGGCATCTGACATCTACTTATCTGATTTGTTGGATGGTACGGCGTCGTCTTCTTCACTTTCTTTTATGTCTTCCAACAATAGTAGTGAGCATGCAGCTGAAAACGAGTTGTTTGTGCCGCAAGCTAACTCCACTAGTGAAAGAAGAGAAATGGATCTGATGGAGATGCTCTCTGGTTCTTCTACAATAGGTAGTACTAGTAACATTTGGTTTCCATTGTTCTAGCTACCTAATGAGTTATGATCATGAACTGTCATGAGATTATCATTATCATGTTGATCATTCCCTTCTTTTTTTATTTGATTTTATTGTTTTGATACTATTTTTTCTTTAAACATACATGTTTTATGGCTTTTTGTTTTGTTTTGTTTTTGTCTGAATAAAAGAACTTATACAGTTATAAATATGTCAAAATAACTAGGTTTATGCCATGCGCTACAGTTGGAACTTGGTAGTCGAGTTTTTTCTTCTACTTTGTGTTTATCATTTCCTGAATTATCTCCATGGCAAAACATGGTCTTCAATGACGATACTTGAAAGGGTAAGGAGGCCATCTGAACGTTACAAATACGTTACATAACTCTTCATTGTAAATTATGAGTTACTAGAAGTCTAGAACAACTTTCATATTACGTTTAATTTCCCCCTATATGGCATTTTTCAAAAATTAAAAAGGAAAATATTGTACCATTTTAAGTAAAAAATACAAATGTGTTTATTATATTTCAGTTTTAAATGGAAATATTATGCTGGCATCGTAACAGTCATTAGATACGTACTAGCTAGCTAATTAAACTCAGAGTTAATAATAGTTTTTTAAGTAATTACTACTACAAGTAATTAAAATCATAGCTTTATGTAATTACTAGTCTAGCTGGGGGAAAATGGTTGTCTGATCTCATCACTTTTACGTGTTTTATGCAAATTGTTTCCCATATTCGACATTTATTTTACGTACATGTATCTTTTCAGGAATTAAACGTGGGCCGGGAAAAATAGAGCGGCCCATAAGGTGAGTGTGGTCCATAATAAACTGGTTAATTAGTACAGTAAAACCTCTATAAATTAATAATGTTGGGACCATGAAAATCTATTAATTTATAGAGGTTTTAATTTATAATTATTAATTTATAGAGAGATTTTCCTAATTTGGAAAGTTTTTCAAAAAATATCTAAAAATAAGATTTAATCATGATAATTAGTATTTTATATAATCAATTACAAATAAAATGATAATTATTATGTCTTGAAATAGAATGCTAACTATTTTTGATATAGTAAAATATTAGAAATAAACTTTAACAAAACTAATGTGTCTATATATACATATATTTTGAAAGTTTAACCTAATTATTAATTTATAATATTGTTGGGACCATATATTTACAAAGGATTTTCAAAAAAATTATTATCTTATTATTTTATCGAAATATATCTAAAATTACACTGGTCCCAACTTGGGAGCGGAGAAATTTATTAATTTATAGAGATTATTAATTTATAGAGTATTAATTTATAGAGGTTTTACTGTACATCACAATATTAGTCCAGTCACTGATTCAATGATTTGGGTCTTCAAATGTGGTAAAGTAGCCTTGATTTTTTTTTTTGTAACACCATATCAGGATCAGCATAGGTCGATTAGTTTGCTTGACTTCTTAGCTTAGCTTAGGTTCTATTTTTTATTTTATTTTGTAATTGTTATTATTAGTCAACTAATACCATATAGTCTCATCATCATAAGCAAATTCATCTACGTACGCCACATTGGATTCCAAGAATAATGAAACCAGAAAAAAAATAAGAAATAGAAAAGAGAAAAACTAGATGCTAGCTACTTCAGATTGGCCTAAGATTCCCAAATAGAGATGTCAAAATGCATAACTAAAAGTAAGCAAACAATGTGGAGAGATATGGACAACACACACAGAAGCATTGAAGAGTGTACAAGTGGTCCATTACAGAATTTAATTTCCATTGAAAAAAACAACATAATGCTTCTTCTTTCCTTTTCTTTTTTTTTGATGTCTGTGGTCCAATTTTGGAAGTGGACAAAGCCTAACTTTGAGGTTTAATTAGAGAGTCGAACATATACGCCACTCCTTATATTAGCAAAGACATATGACATGTTTTATGTTAATGTACTGAGTATAGTATAGTGATCTGTCTTAATATTATTATTGTATATATCATGCATCACCCAAACTCAAATTCATTGAATGTATATTATCGACCAAAAAAAAGGAAAGAAAAAATCTCACTACTGCTGTCATAATTCTTCCTATAGTTTAGCTTAAATATCCTTTTTGAATTATATATATGCTACAACAAAACCACAAAAGTTGGACGTTTCATCGTCAATATTCTTCAAAACGTGAATATGGCCATATCCTCACGTCTACATCTCATCTCTAATGTACAATTCAAAAGTTTATAATAAGATATAAAAAAAAGCTTCTAAGACTACATAAATTGGCTGCTTATACATCTCATAAAAAGCTATATATACGGAAAAGGTTGGATGGGGACACATTTTTGTAACATTATTTGATCAACAATGAAGTGTTGTCTGTGGCACAGTTCCGATTATGTTGAACGTCATATAAATTAACAGTTCCGATTAATTAAATATATCTAATGGGGTACGTAAACAAAATTTTAAGAATTGAGTCCATGCATATTGGATCCGAATTGTGTAAGTGGTCATATTGGATTACAGATTTTACCGTAATCTATCAAATTTCACCGTAATATATCAAATTAGAAACATAACGAGAGAGTTTTACCCGTGATATGTCAAATTTTAAAGATATATAACATTTTTCTGTAAAAAAGTATATTAGACTTTCCACCAATTATAACTCTATATGTTCTTTTGTCGCAATAGGGTAATGGTCACAAGACTCACAACACAACATTGTAGTCACCAAAACCAAAGAACCAGCTAATTGAGTAAGAAGAAGAAGAAGCAACGACTTTTTCAATGTGGATAACCCCAATCTCTCTTTTCTCACGCGGGGCCAAAAATCACTCTTCTTTTCTTCGTTTTGTCTGCTTTCAAAACGCTTACATTGGCCATTACTTTCTCTATTATTTGAAATGATCGTTTAGATTTCTTATAGTATCCATGGAGAGGGTTGGGATAACGATCATTTGAGCATATGATGATATATGATGGGATTATCATCAACGATTTTAACATCTGATACTCTTCACATACACATCGTTTTACAATTCGGATCAATATGACATTCAGATACCTGTCTTTTGCTAATAACATGCATTATACAAGTTTGAATTTATATGGTGAGACATCGACGATACTATTAGTACACTACACTATATATCTTTTTCGATCTTCTTCACCAAAAAATGATAATACTAAATAAATATATATGTATATACATTTCCACTTACAAATTATTTTACCAATTCCTTCTAGTGTCTGATTTTGGAACAAAACAAAAAAAAACACAAAGCTATATCTCTCAAAAAAAAAAAAAAACTATCCGATTAACAATATTCGTAATTCGAGGTAAAGGAAAGATGGGTTTATGATTTTATTTGTGTTTTTTTATTTATTTATAGTGGTTGTGTTATTTAACAAAATGTCAATTATTGTGGTCGTTTTAACCATAACTTTACTCCGATTGAATAATTTCTTTGATAAGAAGGTACTACGATATGTTTGACCAAAACAATATAATACTATATATATACAATAATTGTGCATCTTGGCACACATTTGTCAACCTTTTTACTTATTTATAATTAACATATACTAAATATATTCGAGCTAGAAAAGGTCTTAAGTAAGACCATGTATGGAGAAGCTAGGTTCTTAGTTTTCTACGTACAAGGTCTCTATTTAAATGTACATAAAACAATATCGTTGCCTTGTTCTTCTCTGTTTTGTTAAACAAAAATAAGGCTAGTTCCCTCTATCATATATATATATATGTTTCTTTGTGATCATCTACCCCATTAATTAATCGAAAATATATACTATTTCATATTAGTGAGCCAAGTACATATATTCGTGCGTCACTCTAGTGTGATAACAATGATCTTGTCGTGATCGACGTATACTTTTTAGGCAATGAATAACTGCCACACACGTAAAGTCAATGAGCCCTCTCTGTGGCTTTTCGTTGCGAGCTTGATTAAATATCAAACAAAAGAAACTTACTGCTTCTCCTGAATAGAATTAGAAGGATTAAGTTTTTTTTTGCTTTCCTCTCAGAGAATTTCAAATAATGTTCTCAAACAAAAAGAATTTTTAGTGAGTATTAGAGTAATTACTCTAACATGCTATAATGTGAATTACGAATAAATAATTATATAAATAAAAAAGCAAGTCACTAGAGGTACAACTTTTGCAGCGTTATTACAAAACAAAGTGAAAGATGAAGAAAAAACATCCTTTACGTTCCATCATTTTCAATCCACAAACCTGACAAAAAGCTTCCTATGTTCTTCCTCTACTCTTTCTTTATAATATATTAAAGTACTATTGAAGCTTTTTTTTTAACTCATAATGTTTTGATGTATATGTTGTCTGTATATTGTTAGGTTTTCTTCTAATTTCCGTCTATCATAATAAGCCAAGGGTATACAAGAAAACAAATTAACAAAACAAAGCATCATTACTATAAGCATCATCCTCGTATTATATTCACTGTTTCTAACTAAAGGCTTTTAGCAAAAGTATGAAACGTCATATTTTTTTTTTAGTTTCTTCTTCAAATCTGCGATGCCGATCTTTGGAATAAAATATATGTTCTAAGAAAATATATGATTCCAATAAAATGGATTAATATTTATTTTGCTGATGAGATGAGCTTGTTTTGTCTTGTGTTGGATAAATATAATTGAATGGTGATAGTTGACAACTTGACATGTCACCAGCAATCAAATACATCTCTACGATCATCACACACATCCCTGTTTCTAAGGATAATAATATTGCGTCTATGTATATAAGATTTTTATATATGTTGCATATTATTTTTCTATTTATTTGATTGGCAAATCTGCACATTAGTAAAAAACTTACAAAATGCGTGGGAAACCATTATACTATTAGTGTTAACAACCCCAATTGCCCTTTTAATTTATGCTACAAACAAAACAAAACAAAAAAAAAACTGTAAACTAAACATTTGATGTTTGTTAACAACCACAATTGTCATCATTTACTCTAATTAAATAAATTTTCGTTTATGTCGCTAATATGGAGAGCAAAAGTCCCTGATTAAGATTCTCTATACCAACCTATATATATAGTACTCTAGCTAGCTTTGTCCGAGACAATAAAAATTATGATTAAGTATGTCCAAACATAATTTCAAACAACAATTTTTAGCTAGGCTTGTTCATCTAAAAAATGCGAAGAATAAATCATCGGTAGTTTTCGTTCAATAAGTCATCTCTAGCTAGGTCGAAAACTTCAATGTGTTGGAAATGGAACTAAATACATTTTTGACCAAAAGAAACAAAAAAGCTCCGGCTGCAAATTTCTTATCCGATTTGATGCAGGTCCTACACAATGCATATCCAGACTTCGAAGTCAGTCTACAAGTCAATGCATGATTAACTTGGCATTTGCAAGTGTTGGTTATAAATATATATTGCAAGATTGATGATTTCATTAAGAGGTAGAAGAAACAACGTATTAATATTTATTAAGGAGTAAAAAGAAAACTTAGTTGAGCCGTGGGCCGTAGGGCAAGTTTCGTCGTTTCTCGTACAAAAAAGAAAAAGAAAAAGGAGAGTGTGGGGACGACAAGAGTTGTTGTGAAATGGACGAGTGTGATCGGTAATGTGACCCTCTTTGTCCCAATCATGTGTGCTAATTCGACACGAAACGTAGACCTTATCACACCGGAAGTTTTCTCGACACACGTCTTTTTTTTTTTTTTTAACTCCTTTATTCATCACTCACCTTACTGTTTTGATATTTTGGTGCGGATTCAACTTTGTCCTTTTCTCTTTGTTCATCCATCCGAGAGCTCTCGCGTGTATCGCACGCAATTGAAAAAAGGGTTACAAACAATACCTAGACTAAACCCAAATCTTTGAAGCAGTCAATGGCTTACCAACCTTCAATAAAAACACTCATCATTGTCTATATCCACTGGTTACTACTTTCATAGAAACAACATTTTTACCGTTCCAAAATAATTTGCCTAAAACCTTAACCTTACGGAAAAAGAAAACTGTAACTATGCAAAAGACGAAGTGCAAACAAAGTATGAGTGGGTGGTATTTAAATAACCCTAAACAAGGTAGAGAGAGAGAGGCCAGTGGTTGGTTGGTAATACGACTAGTCCAAAGTGATGGAGCTTAATTAGACGGTTAGGACTTAGGAATTATTTTGCATTACATCCGTAGCTAGCTAATAAGTGCATTTACAAGGCTTTGATACATATCGATGGAAATGGAAATTTGCTTTTCCAAAAATTGTAAGAAAAACATATATATGGAGCAACAATTTCATGATGTACGTTTAATTGATCATTATTTTATCACTGTAATTATAATTAAAAAAAGAAAAAATCCAGATTGTTGTGAACATGCCGGAACATATTGATCGTAAAATTGTTAAGAAAATTTAATCAAACCTTTGGAAATATTTGATTTTATGTATATATGTAGAATGATTTTTTGGAGAAGACATCATGGAGTTCATTAACAAACTAATATTCGAATTTTTTTTTTTTAATTATTCTGATTGGGAATAAATTGTTGTGTCGTATTTTTGGATTAGACATCAATTACGAGCTTAAGTCAAATTTTCTGAAATTGGTCCCCCCACATCTCTATATTTTCAATATACATTATGCGTTGTGTGTTATTCATATGTATTTTTATTATCCTTTTTAAAAAAATGGTCATTTTAATAACAAAGGAAATATAAATGTAAGATTTCAATTTGTACGGTTAGATTTCCTTATCCGATCGCATGCCTATATTATTTTTCTTTTTCAGGGACCACGATTGTGGGAAGGACTATCACGACACGTGTCCTCCGATATTTCTGGCGCCGGGTAGTGACGTCATATTTTTTGACAATGGTCCCCTCCCTCCTTGCCTTGCCTTTTTTTTTTTTCTTTTTCTATTCACTTATTTATTTATTTTTTATTCAGTAATTATTAATTTTGCGCCATTAATTAGTAGATTTGATTAGTGATAAAAAATTCATATATTCTTATTTAACAAACACCTCTCCTTGCAAGTTGCAACATACTTTAGGAAATTAATCTACATATTCAACTAATATTTTCGGTAAAGAAAAATACTAAAATTAGTCGTATATTATTAACCTTTGTGTGGTTGTAGTGGTAAAAAGTTTTTTTTTTTTTGACAGTTTTTGTTTATTTTACAATTCATAACTCTAAAAAATATCCTAATAAAATAGACAAAATCAGTGTAGGAAGTCTTTTAATGAGTTTCAAGAGTTTTAATAGTCTATAAAAGTATAGTTTTAGGCTTTTAGCAATATATTATCGGAATTTCCTGTTTTTCATTATAGGTTATGGTTCAAACTTCAAACACTATGTTCTTTGTTTGTATTATAACTTTTCCAAATTTAATATTAATATCATTCTAGTGAAAAAAAAAAAAGAAAAAAGAAAAAAGTAAAAGTGGATCAGCAATTTCCTTTTTTACAGTCACTTCGTAACTCGTATCATTCTTTTGCCGTCAACTTCTATCATCTGTTTTTGTAAAACGATAAAACTTTTTGCTGTCGTAGGAATTGTTTTATCATGTTCTTACTACGGTATTAATTAATTAGACCTAATCCCATTTTTATTATCCCCAAAATTTTGGTACTCTACTACAATAATAATAATAATAAAAAAACAACAAAGAAAGAAGAATAAAAAATATCGGAATAAATTGTCTTTTTTGGTGTAAGCTAGCTAACACACTCGTATAAAATTCAAACGTTCAACACACATACACATCTACAAAAAATAAAAACCCCCTTAAATTTCATTTTCTTTCTTTTTATAAGCAGAAGAAAGAAAGTTTCTGTAAATTGATTGATTTAATCTTAACATCGAAGCTAAGAATTTCTCTTCTTTCAATCTTTCCCTCTCCCAAAACAAAAACGCTTTCAAATACAAAACTTCAGACGAAAACGATGGCGTTTCACAACAACCACTTCAATCACTTCACCGACCAACAACAACAACAGCCTCCTCCTCCGCCGCAGCAACAGCAACAACATTTCCACGAATCCGCACCACCTAACTGGCTCCTCCGCTCCGACAACAATTTTCTCAACCTCCAGACATCCGCCTCCGCCGCTGCTACAAGCTCCGATTCCCCTTCTTCCGCCGCAGCTAACCAGTGGCTCTCCCGATCCTCCTCTTTCCTCCAACGGGGAGGCGCAGCCAGCAACAACGCAACAGGCTCGGGTGACGTCGTCGAAGACGTCACGGGGGGAGAGGAGTCGATGATAGGAGAGAAGAAAGAGGCGGAGAGGTGGCAGAATGCGAAGCACAAGGCGGAGATACTCTCTCACCCGCTGTACGAACAGCTTTTGTCGGCACACGTGGCGTGTCTGAGGATCGCCACGCCGGTGGATCAGCTTCCGAGGATCGACGCACAGCTTGCTCAGTCGCAAAACGTCGTGGCTAAGTACTCAACCTTAGATACCGCTCAAGGACTCCTCGCCGGCGATGACAAGGAGCTTGACCACTTCATGGTAACTTAACTTCTCTTTCCTTCTCACTTCATTTTTAATTTCAATTATTTTCCATTATTTTATTCGCTTTTAAAATTCTTTTCGATTTTGGGAAAACAAATATCAATAATTTATGTTCGTCTTTTAGTTTATAATTTTACACGGTTTGACAAATTGAAGATTGTTTATTAATACTTACATTAATTAGAGAAGAAGAAAAAATTTCTTGTGTAGGTTTGTACTTAGCACCGACACACATGAATCATGATGCTGATCAATGGGTTAAGATAATTCGTGAATCTAAAAAACTTGGATATATTAGTTTTGTACAGTTGAAGTTTGACAGCAGAAAGGTTTATTTTGAGATAGATTTTGCTGAGTGTATAAATAAGTGATTTGAAAACAAAATTCATTGGTTGTAAGTTACGGATACAGTCATCTGACAAAAGCTAGTTTGTCATTTTCTGTCTGTATCCAATTATTATAATATTCATGTTTTGTATTTATAAATTTGTATATCTTGTCTGAAAGCTATTGTTTCAATGTTTTGTGCAGACGCATTATGTACTATTGCTGTGCTCTTTCAAAGAACAACTGCAACAGCATGTTCGTGTTCATGCTATGGAAGCTGTTATGGCTTGTTGGGAGATTGAGCAGTCACTTCAGAGCTTTACAGGTTAGCTGGTTTTCGAGAATTCTCCTAACATTTTAACATTATTTTTGCATTTAGCTGTAATGATAAATTAATTAAACTCTTGACAAAGACACAAGGTAGTAAGGTGCTTTTATTTCTTTCTAATTTCAGTTTAATTTATAGTACCGAATTCTTAAGGATTTGACACTTTTTTGTTGGGTGAAACAGGAGTGTCTCCTGGTGAAGGCACAGGAGCAACAATGTCTGAGGATGAAGATGAGCAAGTAGAGAGTGATGCTCATTTGTTTGATGGAAGCTTAGATGGATTAGGGTTTGGTCCCCTGGTTCCTACTGAGAGCGAGAGATCTTTGATGGAACGAGTCAGACAAGAACTCAAACATGAACTCAAACAGGTAACTTCCGATATATACACTATCTACTATCTTTTATACATTGTTTCATCTATTAAGTTAGATTTCCCCATAAGACCAATTAGAACACACCCTTCATGCCTTTCTATCATTTTTGACCAAACAAAGATGCTTCTATTAATAAGTCCAATTAATCAAGAAAACTTGTCAGACATGTATTTCTGATATATCTTCTAAGAAACTCGATCAATTTTATCACTTTTTTCTGAAGTCAGTTTACAAATATTTATTACCAGACACTTGTACGCATCAATTTTTTGTGGTTCACACACTAGAGTTAGTTTGATCTAACGATATAGAACAATTGTTTTGTTAAAAAAGGGTTATAAGGAGAAAATTGTAGACATAAGAGAGGAAATACTAAGGAAGAGAAGAGCAGGAAAACTACCAGGAGACACCACCTCTGTTCTCAAAGCATGGTGGCAATCTCATTCTAAGTGGCCTTACCCTACTGTGAGTTCACTCTTTTTTTTTTTTTTCTGAGATGACTCATTCCCTTCTCAATTTCCTAAGTTTTAAATGAATGAGCTATCTTTTGGCAGGAGGAAGATAAGGCGAGGTTGGTACAAGAGACGGGTTTACAGCTCAAACAGATAAACAATTGGTTCATCAATCAAAGAAAAAGAAATTGGCATAGCAATCCATCTTCTTCTACCGTCTCAAAGAACAAACGCAGAAGGTACTTCACACTAACAAAACTTTGTAGGAAGAGTTAGTTATCCAAGGTGAGACCATCACCATACGATCAAAGGATATAGGATATAATCGTTGAAATATATAGGTTAGGTGTGACAAACTTTGGGTTGTTTTTTTTTTTTAATTTGTCCTTCAGGTGTGACAAATTCTAGCTTGTTTAGGTATATATGGCTATCTACTTATCTTTGGTACGTTTCCATACATGGAGTCCTTAAATTTGGAGAGTTGTCTTTATGAAGCAATGCAGGTGAAAATAGCGGAAGAGAGCGTTGAAGTCACTCTGAACCTTCGAAAGGAGAGATCCCCAATAGCTTGGTAGAAAGTTGGAGACATGACGGCAGCAATTCTTACACAAAACAAAACGTAGAACGTTAACTTTTGTGCCATTACATGGTATATATGACTTCCATATTTCATAATTATTAGAGAACACACGAACCCCAAAAGTATGATTTGTAATATATATGAGGTTTTAGATGGATTTTATGATAAAATCGTCACTGCCATCTCCACCATGAATCCATCATTATATATTGTGAATAACATATGGAGTTTTCTCTTTAGCATTTTTGCAAACATTGGCCGTATATCTATTATATACAAACAAGCATATACGTACATCTTTTAAGCTGTTTAGCCTGATGAGTAATTTTGTTAGTTAATGTTCTCATTAGGGTTTTTCTATTCTTTTTTAGAGTGGAACCACGTCTTAAATAATTATGTTACATTTGCTAACCCTAATAGTGATACCAAAACATAGCTACGGCCAAACTCATGTTTATTGCATTTGGTGCTGCAAAGGTCGCCTGCAAACTAAAAAATTAGATATTTTCTCAGCTGTTGCCATTGATGTTTTCCCGTTTTGGCCCTTCTCCACTGGGTTTCTTCATTGTCCACTATGGGCCTGTCTCTCTACCTTGCAGGGTTTACAAAACTAGTTCATGTGAAAATCGCCGACGTTTCAGACCTCGCCCTCTTGTCTTTATATAAGGACTTCTTTTTTTTTTTACTAACACAATGTGTTAATAAAGTCTCTCTTTTTCATTTCTTTTTTTAATCAAGGTAGTGAAAATAACAACAATATTAGAAAAAAAAAACATTAAGATATATAGCCATATATATAATATCATGAACAATTCAATTAAACTTGTTTTGAGTTCCCTTAATTTTAACTAAAAACAACAACAAAATTTGAATTGCTGATGATCTTATATGGCTATGGACAAAAATATTTTATCTAAATGGTTTGGTTATGCTTCAATTATAATTTTCAATGGACTAGATAGTGGTGGGAGTTGAGAGAGTCTCTTTTCAGCGGAATGAGATTGCATGACTTGGCATTTCTGAACGTTGTGGGGTTTCCTGATTGGGTCTTGTCCTCAACTAACATGACACTCATATGAGAGGAGCGTTTGTTCATAGCTAGCAGTGACCCAATCATAAAACACAGCTAGCTCTGTGTTAATCCGTTATGTAGCAACAGCGACGAAACAATTGCTTTCTTCTTCTCTTTTTTTGTCATTTTGGATAGATAAAAGAAGATAATATTCCACTAAATACATTGCTGAAGATATCAAAGATTCGATGTCTGAAAGTGACGCAGAAAACAAAAAGTACAAAACCAATAAAAAGTGTTAGTGGGTAATTGGAGAGGATAGAGAATAAAACAGAGAGGACGACAAAGAAGTTCAACAATATTCTCTTTAAGTTTATCATGCGCTTCTTTCTGTTATACGTTAGCCGATGTATGAGGAATGTTTTCTGATACTTTTTTATATTTAGTATATTAAGATAATCATTGGTACAAATACTAGATTCTTCTGGTGTTTCTTCGAAAAAAGCTTAGAATATATATGGGAGAACACCAATACGATGAAATAACGTTCTAGTGAAGTTTGATCACATTATAATACTTTTCCAAATAGTATATGTTTTGTGGTATGCGATGACGAATTAATCTAGGTACCATAACAATTCTAAGTTGAGGACGTCACGATTTCATAATCTATAACTTAATTGTTGGAGACACGATGCAATTTATCTTTCTTGTCACAACCATAAAACGATCTAAATTATAAAACACACACACATACATGAAACATGTACATAGCTAATTGTAAATTCGTGAATTATACTTTGCGGGCTCGTGATAGTGCGTTTGTCTTGTAAGGTAAGGTCACTTCGTCCGTTATGGTCATTCTAATGCCTACGATGAGTATCAATACTATATTGTATGTAGTATAGTCCACCATATATGATATATAGCCCTTATATTTTATTGTGAAGTGAAGAGATATTTTGATAAAAGTATATGCCTTTACAGTTGACAAAAGAAAGTATATCCCTAACAGTTTATTTTAAAAAAACAATTGTACATTAAAAAAAACGATATAATTATATATAAATGTGATGGTGAATACAAATATCTAAACTTGAAACAATCAATGACGACGATTGACATAGAATGTTTGTGTCTCAATGGGAGATCAAAGTCTAAAGATAAATGTAACTTGGAAGAGAAAAATACTAGAAAATGAGGTATTATACAATAAATAAAATTAATGTGTAAAGTAGACAAAAACAAGTTAGATATGAGGCATCAAAAGAGAAAGGGACATGTCGACTGGGGTGGCAAGTGGTATGCATCACTATGTACCAACACAAACGTCAAAACATGTAAGAAAGCGTTTTTGGTTCGCTTTTCGTTTTTTCAACAATCATCCCCACACTTCACTTCACTTCACACTTCACACTCCCATCCTCTGTATCTCCCACTTGCTTCGTGGTTTTTTCTTTTCTTTCTAAAATTCAATTTTTGGATAATACGGTAATTGTTCTCCACTAATCTTAAACCGGCTTACCAGAATCTTAACCGGATTTTGCCCCTGACAGCTTACCATAATCTCTTTCGATTATTTCCGAAACGATAAAGGCTTTTAATTTCTTACCTAATTCATAAGTAGTCGAAACGTAAAAGATTAACTCTTCATATATTAAATCACAGTAGCTAACCTGGTTCCTAAGTTATGAAAAGTATAATCAATTTTTTTTTTCCGGCATTAGACCACCAATAATGGTGGTCTCTTAAGCATCTTTTAGTTTAAGATTTGCTAAGTCTCCTCACTCACTAGATGGTTACATTTTTTTTTATGTCGATCTAGTATATATAGTATTTAATGTTTTAAAGTTTCACTCACTCTGTATGTTGGAATTCAACTTTCTGCTTATTTGGATATATAGGTTGTCAAACGCATATCTTTTAGCATCTTTCACTTGATTCTGTTTAAGTTCCAACAACACTGATTTAATTGAATCCTCAGCTCAAGAATCTCCTCACTCACCAGTCACCAATCACCTTTTTCTGCTGCTGTTCTTGATCAAAATCAAGAAGCTGAGTTTGTCCAAAACAAAACATTCAAGAAACTTTGAACATCTTTCGTTTGAGCTGAATATAATGTGGTAATGTGTGCTACTATAAAATCCAAATTGAATGATGGAATCAAACCATCGATTAGATCCACCCACATTTTAGGGTTTGTTAATAAGAGTTTGTGTATTGTATTTGAGGAACAATTCTACAAAGCAAATGATTATTTGCAAAGAAAATTAGATCAGAGAGAAATATTTAGAGAATGATTTCTTTTTTTTTTCTTGTGCACACATCAATTTTACACATGTATATCAAATCAATATGCGAGAGAGAAGAGAGAGAAGAGAGAGAGCATTTACATATACATGACGTCATATTCGTACGTCATTTTCTCCGGCGAACAGTTACATTCCACCGTCACACCAAAAAAAATAGAAAAACATATTTATCAGAATATGTAATAAAACGTAACCGTCGTCAGAAGGAGATCAAATCAACCGTAGCGGATCTCGTCTTGGTCACCGGAGACTGAGGCAACCTCGCCGTGAAATTCGGGAAAGAACCGTCCTCATCAGAAACTCTCACATCGTCCTCGAAATTGAGCGCGTAACTCAACGGATCATAGCTGAAATCTCCAGGATAACTCTGGCTCTGATGTCTCTGATGATGATGATGATGATGTTGATGGACACAATTGTAAGCACAGCTGTTGTTACGGCACGTCACCTTGATACGTGACTTGACACGTCGGCACCGATCTCTCAACTCAAGCTCCTGAGCCGTGGATTTGAGCCACTCGTAAGGAGATCTCGGGGTTCTTTGTCCTCCGATCATCATTGTCTCTGGCTCAACAACCGCGTTTGCTCCTAGACAACAGATCGGAGATCTCATCCTGTGATTTGTTCCTCTCGTCGTCGTCGTCGTCGTCGTTGATCTTGCGGTGGATGGAGGAGAGCTGCATTCGTTGTACATTTTCTTGATCTTGAGATGTTTTTGATGAAATTGTTAAAGGAAGAGAGGAAAATGAAATTGGTTTCTTGAATTAGAAAAATTAAAGAAAGAGAAGTGAGAGAAAGAGAATGATTCTGAGATTTAATAAATAGGCAAAAAAAGAAAAGAAAAGGAGATAAGGGAGTTAACAAAAAATCCGTGGTTGATGCGTGGGCTTTTGGGCCCGTTCCGCGTTTTCTATGGGTTTATTTCGTTCTTTTTTTTTTTAATTTCTCAGGTGATTGTAATAAACTAATAACTAGAGGATGGCCCGTGCTTTCGCACGGATGATGTTTTTTAAACTAAAGATATAATTGAATTTGTATTAATATTTGGTATTCAATAGTATAGGATAAACATAATAGTCTTGTATATTTTAATTTTAATTCTATAGAGTTAAATCGCATGTTGATTTGTATATTTTAACTGTATAGAAAGTAAATAATATATACAATAGTAATTAGATCTGGTTTTAATATAAGTACGTATATATTATATTTTCCCTAAAACCGTTAAATTTATCAATCACGGACATTACCTCAACGGTGTATAAGAAAATGCAATCTTTTAATATAATTTACAAAAATTGTATATCGGTTGAAAGATAACATAAGTGATATATAATAATTTCATAAATTTGGATAATCTATTTATGAATACCTTATGAATAAAATTTAACTATTGGCAAAAGTATATGATAAACTAATCTGCTAAAATGTTAACAAAAAAGGAAAATATGATAAATATTGTAATTGTAAACAATTTTAATATAAAATTTAATCTTTAATCTACTTGAAATAAGAAAAATTAAATGTTTTAAGTTTAATAATGTACGAAATATTTAAATTTAGAAATATTAATGAAAAACATAAAAAAACTGAGATTTTTCACCTAAACTATTTCCTTAATTGAAAATTATAATACCTATTAAATCTTTTAGATATTCGAAAATAAGATTTAATTCCAATACCCGATTAAGAGACCTGTTTTAAGAGATGACCAGAATATCATTCAAAGTAATGCTATTTTAATATTTTAAAATTTAGTTTAAATTAATTAAATGCTTACCAAAATTAAATTTATTATCATTTTTTATCTAAAATCGGTTAGTAAAAGAGGTAATATTAGTTGAAATTTATTTCCTTCCTTTTTCGTTTCTGAAAATGATTTTTTCTTATAAGTTTTTAAAGAAAAATGTATCAATCAAGTTTTTTATTTCATAAAAT